CAATTTTGAGCACCATATTAATGAGAATGTGCTGTTCCTTTGCTGCTAACCTGCTTTAAAAGCTGGTATTTCTATTTTGAAGCTTTTGTTTATTTAGTTAAGTGCTTAGTGCCCTCACTGGGAGCTGTTGGGATAGCAAGGGGGACAGTAAGCACTCTCCAAATGGGTGGATAAGTAACAAAATTGCATTTAAGCTGTTGTCATGCTGCCAGATCTGCCCTCCACATTTGAAAAATGAATAGGATGACTAATTATCTCCTCTGCTCAGGGAGATACCAAATACTAGCCATGCTCTTCCTACTTTGAATTAAGAGAAAAATTTGCGGTGACTTTCCTATAGACCTGGAGTATTTGTAAGCGAGAAACAAGCTGACTGCAGGATGAATTTCCAGGTCACGTCCCCCTGGGAAACTCCCTAGACACCGTGGGGTATCCGTGCCAGGGTAAATCTTGCTTTCTCACCTGCTTTCCTGAACTCCGCCGCCAGGCTGCTCCATGCAGGAAGTGGTGCTGGCTCTGCAGAGACCCGTCCTGCATGGGGAAGCGGGCAGCTGGGGAGCGTAGACAGCCCCCCCACCTCTTTCGGGAGTTTAGACGCATGATTCGTGGCTCAATATAACATGCGCATTTCTTTCAGGAGTGGGTGGTTTACCACAAAGGGCAGGCTAACAGGAGGATGTGCTCTCCCAGCCTCCTCCACAGCCTGTTGAAGACATGCCACTGACCAAACTGCATGGGAGATTTGCAGGGCTATGGAAAGGGCCTGACTCTGGGTCGGTGAGTCAGGTCTCTGCCCCGGCCTCATGGCATGGATAGGTGCCTCCTGCACTAAAATCACTGGATAAAACACAATCACTCGCTTCTGCTGGCTGCAGTTTCCACAGCTGAATAGATCTTTATCTGCCTCTAAATTTTAGTTGTGAATGAGGAGAGGAGCTCACTTTCACTTGTATAGCACCAATACTTAAAAATCGCCCTTCTTCAGCCTTTCCCAAGTATGAGAAAGACCCATAGAGAGTGTGAGTGTCACAGCAGGGCCCTGCCTGCAGCCCTCTGCACAGGCAGCATCTTTAGCTCTTAGCACAGAACTTGCAATTGCACCCTAACTTGGTGCAAGTTGGTGTCATCAACTTTGGCTGAGTTTCTACACCACTCAACTCCCCTTTCTCTCACTGGAACCTCCCCACACACAATACGAGGTGTGTGCCTGGCCCAGGAGCCCTGCTGCTGGCACAGGGAAGGAGCCAGGTTGGGAAGGAACAGGGAATCCAGTTAGGGAAACTGGCTACTCTGGGTCTACAGCAGAATTAAGAAGTTCATATAAGTAAGTACACCACAAACACCACAATTTGTCCCTCACTAGACACTCAGTTTCTGCTCTCTGGGACACACCGGCTGCCTGTAAGAGCCAAGCATTTTCAGCTTGTAGACTCAGGGCTGTAAGCATCAAAAGACCATTCCTTCCAGGGGAACCCATTGCCACTCAGACCTAAAAAGAAAGAGCAATACCCTACCTCAGCATCAACCCAAACCCTGCAGTGCTCCCCCTGCTGCCACCAGTGCCAGAACCAAGATGTACTGCATTCCTTCAGATAGAAGAAACAAAAAATTAACCAGGTTGCTGCCCACCCAGCTGGGAACTGAAGAAGCTCTGCTTGCTGGCAATAAAAATGTGTTGCTTGCCTATGAGGGATGTCAGGAAAAAGGCCAGTTGTACTAAGAATAGCTTTCTGCTGAGGCCCCCTCAGAAAGTTTATGACGGAATTGTACAGACACGGAGAATAAATCACTTACCTTAAGAAGAGGAGACAGAGTAAAAAGACAAGACAAATTCGGTGTGATGGGAAGTGACTCAGTCTAGGTAATTACCCAGTTAGAAGGTAACAGACAGACTTTGGGACATGGTGAGAGAAATCCCTTCTTTCCATTCTGACAGCTCTTCCAGGAGGTTTTCTCAAATGGATGACCATGAGGGTAGAAAAGACCTGCCCTGTGCCCCTGTCACGGCTGTGTGACATGGTGAGCAGCAAAGAAGTATAACCCCAGACCAGAACCCTGTATCCAAAATGCAAGTGTTTCTCATGCCGCAGCTCTGGCTCGGGGACAGTCTTTGCTCTTCACTTCCAGGGGACTGAGCCTCTGCAGGCTGAGAGAATCCTCAGCAGAGAGCGGCCATTCAGCGCTGCCCCCCAGGTCTGCCCCCATGGCCCTTCGGTGCCAGCCTCGCACTGCTGTCATGGCAGCCACAGGGCGCAGCTTTCCAACCACTTCCAGGTTCACCCAATCTGCCTCTAACAGGTATGGGCCTGCAGAGGCTTGTGCATCTCACATGGCTGTAAAAGTGGTGCTCATGACCAGACCCTCAAGTGTGGTTTACAGAACAAGTTTTGTTTACTTCAGTTTACAAAGTAAAGCCACCAGCTTTAATTCTCCCTAAAACCCAAAACAACTGGGGAGGTGCATGACTCAGAGTGGCTTGGTGCAAATTTTTGCAAAGTAACAGATGCAAAAATCAAAATAATTCAAATATTACATACATGTAAAACAAAAGAAATTCAAGTTAAAACCAGAACTGGATTCTTATTAGCCCTAGAGATGATCCAAGAATATGTCAGGAAATAAATAAATCATTCTAATTTTCACCATTAAAGAGGGCACTGCTCACTAATCCAAATGGTTTGCGTATTTACAGAAGGCAGATGGGTTAGAGGAGAAATAGAAAGAAGAAAAGCATTCATAAGAGTGAACTGAAATGCTGCAGGGTGATCGCTTCCCCACATGTCCCGCTGTGACTAAAAGAAGGCTTTAAATCACTGCAAGGGGCCAAAGAAATTCCTTTTGAGCAGGATGCCGTCATCTGCCCCATGCTAGAGGGACTGTGCCAAGGTTAAGACCAGCATGGTCTACTAGGTTTGGCTGTCACCACAGAGACTCTGAAGCTCCACCACAATCCATGACCACCCTGGGGCAGATGACAACAAATAAGTTGGCCTGGTCAGTCCATTTTATGAATAGAAGGGCAATTTATCCTAGAAGCTATCTGAAGGGAAGATTGCTTAAAGCCACATCTTCCTGGCCTCCGCTGGACATGTTCTTCAACATGTAAGCACAGCTGGTGATCAAAACACTTGGCATTTCCACAAAGGCCAATAGCTAGGGTGCCTTAGGTGACTGCAAGAAAAAGCAGGCCCTTTCAAGTATCTCTTTCAACATTTGCAAACCACAGGAGACAAAGCAACACCCTCATTTACAAAAGCAGTGTGACTTGTGCTCATCACTGGTGTTTCTGATGCTTTGTTACCAAATAATAACCTGCTTTCTTTTTGCTGCACATGCTACTAAGGCCAAATCCTGAGAGGTCGGAGCTGTACTTTCGGTGCAGCCAGTGGAGCGAAGATGCTTGATGCCCAACAGAAGCAGGGCAAATTCTGCAGTTAATGTCATAGCATGCAAAAAAACATCCTGAAGGCTCATCCTAACCTTCTGTTTCCTTGTCAAGACAGATTTATTTACAGTCAATACCACAGGGACTAGATTTGAGTGGCAGTGGTGTTATATCCATATTTTTAATGGGATGTGACATTTAAGGCAGCATTTCAGTTCACCTCTAAGCCTGTAATTACACTTGCAAATCTGCTTAGCAAGACATCAGCAGAGTATCCTAGGGGACTGCTCGAACAGATTGGTTCTGTTCCCATAGAAGCAGCATTTGAGTACCAAGTGATGCTACAAAGCAGACACTGCAGACTGCAGTGCCTGACACAGACACTTGCAAACTGGACCCACTCCTAATCTTCAAAATAAAAACAAAAACAAAGACTGCAAAGAGCCCTTGCTTTATCTTAAAAGCAATGCTGCGCTGAGTCAGATACCACTGGAGGTCAGGAGCACTTCATGAATACACCACCGAGACAGGACTCCTTTCTATACCCTGCTGGTTATATCTTTGGTTTCACAAAATCTGCAAGTGCTAAAAGTACCAGACCAGCCCAAGGATGAAATCCTGTTTGTTATCTCCTGGTCTGGAATCATGATGACCCAGTGCTGAGAAGCACCTTTAAGTCTCCTGCACAAGTGCAGACTCCTTCCGAAAGGAATCCATTTAGATTTCTCCTTTCATTGTAGCCCTACCACCACTGAAATTTTGAGAGCAAATTGATGCCAAATGCCAGGATGCTCAGGACTATATTTTGCCCACAATTTACATACCCACCCCTCCTCTGCACCCAATTTACACCACCACCCCCAAAGACATGACTGGAATCAAATAAAGTACATATGAAGTACTCAGCTGGGACTCCATGTATACTCAGTTCTCTTCAGGTCTGGAGAAAAAAAAAGTCTGATTTGTTCGGATTTGGACTTTTCATCCATGCCCATGGGAGGCAAAGTGAAGGATCTCCTTCTCTCACAAGCCACCTGAGCAGATTTTTCTGCAGGATGCAAATGGTTTCATCCCTGAGTTCAGCTCTAAAAGAGAAAAATGCAGTCCTCAGCCATCACCACCCTAGCACCAGAAGCAAAGAGAACATTTAGCACAGAGCTCTCTGCTGCAGGAACAAAGAGCATACAAGGAGCACAAAGCTAGGAAAGATGGAGAAAAGCAGAAAGAGGCTAATTTGTATCATACCAAAGAAACAGAAGAAAACCTGAGGCCAAAGGGTTTGGACTAGTAGAGGAAGAACGCTTACAGAAGGTAGACTGCGCTGTTCAACAACGAAACCTTTGCAGCCCTCAGTGCTCATTTGGGAGCAGCCTGGTACCTCCATCAACAATGATCCCAGGCAGGCAAGAAAAAAAAAACTAGAGAGCATTCCCAAAGACGCATAAGATCCCTCAAGGCCATTTCAATTACATGAGCAAAACTCGAATTTTTCTCTTTTTTCCCAGCAGGGACGACACAACACTTTGTCCAGCTTAGTGCATACAGTTCTCCTCTCCTCAGCAAGACTTCTTCTAGCTGACTGATGTGCAGTTCAGCTCTGCAGGGTCCTGCCTACCTTCTGCCATGACTCCCTCTGGCCCATCGGCAATATTGGGCTCACTGGAGCACTGCCTGTGGCTAAAACTGGGCTGCAGGAGAAGGCATTTGTCGGTACTGTCTGACTCCTCAATCACCATTCCTGTGTGCATCATGGAGGCCATTGCCAGGAGCTGAATATCTGAGTGAGCATTGGCAACAGTGTGGCGACGGATGCTACCACATTTTTCCAGGTAAGCCTCACCCTCCTGCTCTGTCAGTGGGGTCAGGGCCATCTCGCTGGGCTGCCGGCTCGTCACCACGTGAGATGAATAATTCAGTACACCAGTCTTAGGACGGGATCTGGAGTACCGTCTCTCTGGAAGAGAAAAAGGAAGCAGGAATGGTCAATAGGGCACAGACAAAGCATTGCCCAAACTGCTAGGCTGGCCTCAGGGAACAGAGAGGACTCGGCGTGCAGCCACAGAGTGTCCCACCTCATTACCACCAGGGAACAGTCAGATGCTCATTAGTTCATACTGCTGGGGGTATGGAAAAGAGGTCTGCCTCTCCCCTGGTAAGGAGACACCTCCCATCCTGCTGTAAGGCAACGGTGCTGCTGCCTGTGAGAGAAGTGAGCCAAAAAGTAACAAGTGCAGCAAAGGGACTTTCTTCAGCATTCTGATGGTCTCGTCGCTTACCCAGGGGTTGAGGACTGAGTAGGAGCTCTCATGTGCAGGTTCACTAAAATCAGTGATGCTAAAGTGGCACAAGTCCCCAAAGAAGCATTCAGAGAGGACCCGAGTTGCCATCCCTTCCTCTGGAAAATTCCTCTCAGGAGACGCTGTTAGCTGGTGTCAACATGAAATTCCTGATGCTTACATTGCACTGCCTCTCCAGCTGCCTAGGGAAAGGCAGTTCTGCTAGCAGTATCCCACCGTATTTTTTAAAGATTATGCAAGAAAAAGAACATTTCATCCACTTTAAAACATGTCTGGTTTTGGGGCTAGACACTGAAAACACCTAACAGTGCACAGCAACAGCCCACAACAACCCAGGGGGAAAGGTGCAGAAAAGGAAGGCAGTACTTGCAGAGCACGGGTGAAGGCAGTGACAGAATTGATGGGTGCAGGGTCTATGATCTGCTCAGCAAAAACATTAAGGGGGAAAAATGCCTGGTTTAAAACTCAAACCCAAGGCACAGTCCCCAGCCCAGTATCATGAAGCACCATTTCAATTCTGACACTACAAGCTTTAAGAAAAGCAGGGGTCTGAATTTGTGCCTTGGCTCGCTGTAATTCACTCCCCTAGCAGGCTGAATCAGACAGTATTACTTTTCACCTGCTGTCTTTCACCGCTGTGCAGCATTGCCATGTGGTGTTAAACACCTCATGTGGTCTATCCCCGAAGCAGCTGATAAAGCTAATCCCTCTGTCTCTCTGTTTCTCACCAACTTCCTTGAAGTGCAGGGTCTTATTTCATAAGGTCGGAAGCCTTTAAACCATATAAAATACTTCCACCAAGACTTCAGAGCATAAGAGAGAGAGTAACAAAATGCAAAGCAAAACACTCGTCACTGAAGGTTATAAAAGAGTTTTGGAAGCTTGCATCAGGAAGCAGAAAACAAACTCTGTATTGTTGCAGGAAGGAATGGATGAGCAGCCAAAACTCCATCACTGGCAGCAGCCAAGCTATGACAACACTTCACCCCAGTGCTGCAGTAATACATTCATTAAAAACAGTTCATTTTGTGCTTAAGACTATGTGCAAATAATTTTTGAGGTTAGTTATGTTAAATATACTCTTTAGGTGTCATCTGCAGCTCAAGCCACAGCAAGCTGTAATGTTGGAGGGCATTGGGAAAAAGTAATTTAAGGTGGGAGCCACACAAGCATCCTTCCACTCTGCACCCCTCCTTGCAGCTCCATTGGCAGCGGCAGGCAGGGCAGCAGCAGGCGAGCATCCTAGCACAGCACTGGCACCACCAAACCCTGTGCACTGCATTAGCATTCTGCTGCTGCCCATGCCTGGAAAGTTACCCTGGCATAGACAAGACCGAAATAACACTGGTGTCATTAGCAGTAGCTGCTTCTCCACCTTCACCAGTACTTATCAGGGCTTCTTCATTTCTGACTTCTGTGAACAAAGTGAAGTACTGATACCAAAAGAGAGAAGCCAGTGGTGGGGACAGTTATATACTTGCAACGTGACCGACCCAGGCTGAGATCTTTAAATGCATTTAGGTGCCCATCTCCTGTCAACATTAGGAAGTCAGACACCTTTAAGAGCTGTTTAGTTCTTGGGCTGAGAGGAGAAAGAGCTCAGTAGCCTCTTGAGGTAATGGTTCATTGCACTACCCCCATCCCATGATTTAATATTTACATTATTTCTATCCTGCAGTGGCTTCAGCTATGCAGAGATGTCTTCGTTAACTAGAGAGGTCTGAGGAGATTAAACTGAACTGAGCTGTGCAAAATGCTGCCAATTTTCCAGACTCCACAGCTGCAGATTTTGTAGGCAAGGGCTGAATCTTTGTTCTTCTCTGTTCCTATACAACACATTGAAAATTAAAACATGCTTCATTTAAACAGGGACAGCTTGCAGCCCTTCCCAAAAAGCCAGGATACACAGGAAAAAGAAAAATCATGGCCATGGCCTGATGTTCACTTAATAGATAAGTAAAAATATTTCTGTGAAAAAAAAGTGCCAGTTTTGTCCATAAACTTTTAGTGCTGCTGAAAGAGCCAAGCCTGATGACCTGAGAGATTAAAATCCACTAAGAGCAAGCATAATATAGGAAGAAATAATATAAAATTATTCCTGCCCAGCCTGGTGACCCTGCCTTCACATAAACTGGCAAAGAGATCCTGAGATCCCTCTCTGTCATGTCCTTGGCTGCTGTGGTAAAATGGTCAACTAGTATCATTCGTTACATCAACTACTGTGGTAGTTTGCAATCCAGCCAGTCTGTATTCATCATTTCACAGGCTTATACATGATGTATGTACTTGTGTACATGTTTGCATAGGTGTGTACGTACACACACTCACTGACTAGCAGGCTGCAGAGAGCTGATGCACGTGCCAGTGTTTCAAAGTCTGACATCATTCAGATTTTGAATGTAATCAGAACCTGGATGGGGAGATTGTAAAAACCTGCTGGTATCGAAGGAAACACAGACAGTAATTCAGAAGACCACACTCTTCCCCTCAGACCTGTATCAGCATAGAAACAGGAGCATTGCACAGCCTCCTGTGTGCAAAAATAAAGCAAAGGTCCTGAGTTTAACTATACTGAAGTAACTACTGTAACCCAGACACCCTGCAATGAGCTGAGCCCAGAATTGAGCAGAGGTTGCAAACCCACCCAGGAATCTGGATGGACACGCAGGCGTGCTGGGGGGCGGCTTGTGCTGCCGC